ATCAATATGAACCTTGTCTCTTAGGGAAGCAATTAAATACTTAGCTGTAGTGACAGAATGGTATCAAGATAGTAAAGAGAAAAGAATGGTAAAGATCCTGGGCCAGCGACGAATTTCAAAAATCAATTAAAGAATCGACGGCATTTTCATTTTGTCATAAAAATCCTGAGTTAGAGACAATGCTAGATCAAAAACTCCCTGGTTTTATTGGCCTTTCTGGCAGTGTTAATTAAATGAAAACCCTCTGCTGATTGACTGATAAAGCACACAACAAGAGTAAATCACTGCTGTGGATTTGCGTGTGCATTTCATTTCAGCAAGACGTTTAGATGGTGTTTTCATCAGTAGCTGCCAGCGATGGACAATGCCTTGTGTTCTGAGCCTCGTATTTATTAGCATGGTAAATCAATTAAATATGGTTTATGTCAATTGATATAAACCACTACTTTGATTACTTTAAAAAAGGTTTCACTGTTTTATCACTCACCTTACACCTGATAACATATCAACTACTCATTTTTCTTACCAAATCTCCTCTGGCAGACCACTTGAAGCTGAAGTGCACGTTATGGGACGTGCCCATTTCTTTCAAAACCTCTCATCCTGTAAGATTTCGATCCTCAATGAATTTCTAAGCACAATATGATTTGGGGTGGAGTCATAAAGACAAGAAAACTAAAAAACAAAGTAGAACATGGCTCTCTTTTTTAGAGAAAATAAGAACACGACATTTATCAATGATAGGTAACTCCTGTTCTGTAACCATTGTACCAAAATTACCCACAGTGCTCTACTTTGTTTTTCAATTCTTTATTATGACTCCCCTAAAGTCACATTGTGTTTTGAAATTTCTAGTTTTTCAACAACAGGAAACACTGGAGACTAAAGCTCTGAGAGGACCAGATCTCTCTTTCTTATGCCAAAGTCTAGTCCTAGAACATTCAGGTTTGTTCACGTAAGAATTTTTTGAACAGGTCATGCTCCTTGGCAGGGAAGGAAGAGGAGGAGACCATGAGCAGAAACGGCCCTTACAGATGGAGCTGACCATTTTAACAGGAAAAAATGAACAGAAGGCATTCAGTAGAGAGTTGCTGAAGACTTGAAAGCTCATACAAAATAATGGGTGGGATAATTAGAAAAAACGATGTGATTAAAATACCATGCATAATTGCTGGAAGAGAGCATCTTGACCAGAATGGGTAATTGAAAAGTTTCCTGGAAGAGGTGATTCGTGAACCAATTGGAGATATGGCATTAGAAAAAGACGGAAAGATCAATGGGGCCAGAAATGTAAACTTTGAAGTCAAGTAAGAGTGAGAACTGGCGCCATGCTGGAAGGCATTTCTTCAAGAGGGGCATGGGACCAGCCCTCCAGGTCCTAGGAAGCGTGGAAATCAGGGAGGAAAACAACCACTCCATACCACATGGAGTTGCACACATCTGCACAGCTGGCCAGGCATCGTCTGACAATACACCTGCCAATTTTTCTCACCTAGGCACTGTTGCTTCTGGTCCAAGAGCCCAGTGCTATTTACAGAACTTTCTTGGGCAAGAAGATGAAACTGTGAACTCCACTTTGTTGTACAGAAGATACAAGCCTTGCCACTAAAAGGATGTCTTCCATTAATTCTAGCCTAGGGCAAATAACCTGAGACAAAATGATTCTCAATTCTTCGCTGCCAATCAGAGAGCAGAGAGCCGATTTGCAATTTATGCTGATGCTCTGCGTGTTCTGCTTTACAGACATCAAGATTTTACCGGAACAAGCGACACCCAAATACAATTTTTTAAGTTTACATGTATCTCAAGGAATAAATTTAATAACAGACATGAGTTCTTCATGTGTTGCTTGGTAATTTTTCTCTCCTGGCTTTCCAATGGGCTAAAATATAAATGCTTCAAAGGCAGACAAAATCTCCTATTTTTCTGTCACACTGACGGCATCTAATGCATGATGCTCCACAGGGTTTGAGGTGTGGTCCCATGTTGACCTCAACATGCATTTGAAGGGACTTTGCCTTCATCTAATCATACATGACATTGTCATAAAACATACAAAACGTACCTCTAAAATGTGAGAAACCATTTCATGAGTTGAAGAATATAAATGCTAAAAATCTTATTTAAAATACTTTTTTTTACTCATGGCACACTTATTAGTAATCAAATTATACTTAATTTTTTAAGCCTTTGGGGAAAAATGTCACAATCATCATTTCTTCTTCTTATACACTTGGTACCTGAAACTTGTCACTGTGGCAACCTGCCTTGATACCTATAAATCAGAAGTGATGCATGTGTTCATATTACATAATGCAAAATAAAACAAAACCACCAAAGTGCATAGCCCAGGTATTCCGAACGTTCTTTGTTAGTGCCCTGTCTCAGAGAGTTATCATCAGTCTGATATGGGATGGAGGAAGACTAATTCAACATCTAGCTTCATGATTTAAATTTTAGTTTACATTTTTAAATGTATTCCTGGATAAATTATTCCATCTGTTTCCTTTTTTTAAGTCTCTCAATTTTTCACCACAATCACAAAAAATTTACCCAATGAGAAATCAAATTGAATATTTATTTCAGTAAAAGAGAAACAAAACTGTCTTTTTTAATCCTGGCACAAGATGAAATGGTCAGAACAGATGTCATGCAAGAAGCAAAACTTCCAGTTGCTCTGGAAGAATTCCACATAAGCACATGATGCATATTTTTTTTGTTGGTTGTTTTCCTCCAAATGTGAATGGCAGCTCTGCTCAAAAAGTTTTAAATCTATTTCAAATAAACAAAATCAGCATTCTGAAGTATATTGAGAAAAAACTTAGAATATTTAAAAATCCTAAAAATTGATTCATAGTATTTGTTAAAACAGATTTTTTTAATTATCTGTAAAGTGAGAACCTCTTTAATATGCTACAGGAAAAAGCAAATGGAAAATGGAAAACAGCTTTTAAGAATATACACAAAAGTGAAAATAGATTCTAAACAAAGGAATTCAGTGTTTTTACTTTGTTTTCTTATCTGTATTTGCTAGTAATTCTACAATAAATATGAATCATTTATAATTTGATAAAGTATTCTTAATTTTAAAATGTGAGATGTCATAGAAGAAAATTCAACTTAAAAATGCAATTAATGCCAACTGTGAGTAAGAGATTGTGTGTGCCTGATACTGAGAAAAGTGAAAATATAAACAAAATCAAATTCCTACTTCCAAGGACTTTAAACCTCTGGTAGGAATCATGATTAGACTGGAGAATAACAGTAATAACAGTAGCTATGATTTACTCGCAGCCCACTATATAAGGTGCCTTATGCATATTGCTAATCTTTATACTGACCCCACAAGTTGGAAATTATCCCAGTTTTACACATAAGGAAACTGGCTCAGAGAAGTGACAATGCTTTCACAGACACAGTTTCCATACGTCCAAAGTTTTCACTCTTCATTCCACCACGTTTGGTAAAACATTGTGATTAAAAGGGCAAGTGGCACATACGCCAAGCAAACAATAAATTTTCCAAAGAATTCTGGACACTAGAACCCGAGTGGATGTTATTTAAGCTTGCAGGGACATCCCCACGAACACTCATTCTTGTTTTTCCAGCAAAGTGCAGATAGGTTGGTTCTCGAGAGTTCCAGAGGGTGGAGTGCCAGATCACAAAATTGATTACACTGATTTTAACAAGAGAGTTAAGAGTGGGAACAACCAAGCATATAATTTCCAACTGAGGAACACACACTTTCAGTCAAATAATGCAAACACAATTTAAACATAGATGTGCTATACTTTTCAAGAACTTTCAAATCCATTGTCTCGATTGATACTTGCAAAGTAGATAAACCTATAAACATGTAAAATAACTGTCGCTTGAATTAATGAAGCACAGAGAGGTAAGGTTACTTAACAAAGGACACCTAGCAAGTTAAAGGAAGAACCAGAACTGGAATTCAGAGGTCTTCTACATAGCTGCACGTTAGAAATATGTGCACAAACACAATGGTAGCTCACGTGCATGCCCTCTCCCCAATACTATCGGCATTCTTTTACAATTCAGTTATTTCTAAAAACATAAACAAAAATCGTAACATTGAGCATATTTTATATATATTAGCGCTAATCCTGGAGGTCGATTTTGTTATGAATAAACCATCGAACAAACTTCAAATGGCGTGGGGCACTAAGGCTCTGAGATTTTAAGGGGTCTTCCCAAGGTCACACACGTGAGTGATGGATGGAGCATTCAACTCTAGGTTGATCTCACGTCAAATCCCAAGTGGTTTCCACAAGCTGGCTTGGATTAGGCCACCTTCCCAAATATTAGTATTTATGGCCCAAGTTTCTTATGGAGCGATGAGGTGTACAAGTGAACTAAGGAATAAACAAATAAAATCTTACGTACTCAGACAAAAATCAGAATGGTCACTTAATCATTGAACAAATAACAGTGAGACTGTAATTCCACTTAGGACAAAGCTACTGCTTTCAAGGAGATGGACATATCCTTGCCTGCCACATGAGGCCAGCTGCCCAGCCAGAGCCTCGCCTTCCCAGGGCTGTAGGCCTTGTGGCTATGGAGGAGTCCATCCTCCTTCCAGGACTTCACCAGGTTGACACATTCATCCTTAGCCTAATGGCCAGGGTCTGAAGGTGTAGGTTTGATGACTGCCCAGAAAACCCAAGTGAGTGCCTCCAGGTGCCCGTGTGCAGATAACTCCTGGAGGGCATCACCAATTCATGATCCTAAAGGGGTCTTCATTCTCCTGTTTTTCATGTGCCTTCACAGTGGATCCATCCACCTATTTGGAATGCCTTAATGAAGTCTCTTTTCCTCTGAGTTTGTTTTCTATCTCCAGGAACAGAGCTACAGGATATGATGGAGGCATAGAAACTGTATTTCTAAAAAGCACCTGACAAGATTTTGAAATCCACTGATTATCTTGTTAGGTCTGTCTTCGGAATAGGAAACACAAAACTACAGAATTTGTTGATACAAACCTTTCCTTCATTGTCTTCATAAAGCCTTTCATCTTCTTTTTCCTATTATTAAAAAAATAAATATAGTAATCAACTATCTGCAAGAAGGACACTGTCACATAAATCCTTCATCTTCCGCAGCTCCTCTCACTTCCTGGGCTGGGTCAATCTTTCTTGTTACACATAGCACTCAGGAGTTCCCCTTCGAGCCTTCGCGCCCTCCCCAGCTCCATCTCTGTGTCCCACTTCTTCCTACTCCCCTTCCGCTTTGTCGCGCGCTACCCTTTCCCATTGTAGTTCTTCGTTTTTCTGTACATCTTGTTAAATACTTTTATACATATACAGAATACTATATACTCTGTTGCACCTTCGTTTGTTTTTTCCACTTAACACAGTCTCTTGGAGTTCTCACCCTTCAGGATATGTGGGTCTACCTCATTGTTTTTACAGCTGTAGTGTTGTCCATTGCATGGGTGAAACAAAAATCAATCACCTCCTAAGAATGACTATCTCATGTTTCTCTTTTTTGTTATTAATAAGTATATTTGTGAAATACCCCTAGCTATGGAAATCATGGTTTAAAAAAATGCACATTTAATTTTAATAGAAACAGCAGAAACCCCTTCCCTAAAGACTGCACCAATTTATACTTTGACCCTGTTAAGAAGCATTGTTGCTTTCCTACATCTTCCCAGCACTGGACAGTGTCAATATGATTTTTTTTAAAACTCGTTGTTTATGATCTGCATTTCTTTAATTGGGAACAATAAGAATATATTTTCTTACGTCTTTTGGAGATTTGTCTTCTCTGTGGATTTCCGATTTGTTTCATTTGCCTTTCTTTGATTGGGTTGTATTAATGATTTGGGAGCCATTTGTAAATTAAGAAAATGTTACTTGTGTCGCAAATAGTTTCCTCCATGTTTTGGACTTTTGGCTTTATGGTATTTTCCAAAGAGAAGAGTTTCATTTTTGCATAGAGAAATGTCATGTCTTTGGGGATGGTTACTTCTTAACACATAGCCTTTTGAGACTCACTGAATATTCAGCTTCATTTTCAGTCCCATGTAATCAGGAATCACTTCCCCGCCCTGGCTTTGCCACACCCCTGCCTTCTGAACCAGAGTTCTTCAAACTGCCACAAAGCCGTGCGATAGTGACCGACAATCCTCAAGGTGCTTGAGCAAGTTCAAGACCGGTTACTCCTGTGTGCCTGGTGATGTGAAAAGTGCTAAGGATGACAGTGAAATGCACTGAGCACAGACCCTTCCTTCACAAAACTTATCTATCAGAGGAGACAGAGGCACGCGAATAACTCTAAGAAACGCCAAAGTGGGACTCAGATGGTGTGAGAAGGAGAGACAAAATACTGTTGGGGACCATGGAGGAAGAGACACTACCACTTGGTGAAGGAGCCAGAAAGCTTAATGAGGAGGTTGGCATCTACAAGGAGCCTTGGAGGGTGGGAGAAACTAGGCAGACAAAAAGGCAGAAATTAGACTGAGGGCATGCCAGGCAGCACGCACAGCGCAAAAAAGAGACAAAGTGCCAAGCATACTCTGAAAGAAAGAAAAACTTACCACCCAAAATATTAAAATCAACATCTCTTTCTCTCTCCCTCTCTCCCTCATCTCTCTCTCTCCTCACTTCATCAAATAAACCAAATTACCCATGAATTTTTATATAGCCTTTGCCAAGGCAGGAAAAACTGAAAAACTATTAGGAGTCTGATAACCCAGATCTCAGAGTCAGAAAAAGCCTTAGGTCCTCGCACAGGACCGCCCATTCCCATGCGTAAGTCTCTCTGAAACCTGCCTGCAGAACTGGCCTCCAGCCCACCGTGAACTACCCCAGGGGTGGGGGGTTCACGCCCTCCTTGGAGAGCCCGAATACGCGGTCTGGCCATACACTTTTCAGCACTGCCGTTCACCTCTCCCACGTTCCTTCGGAAACTTTTCAAAACTTTTACACATGGTTTACAAATTTAGCAGGTAGCATAAACAAAAAAGCCTTGCTTGCACATAAAAGGTTTGACAATCAATGGATCGAAACAGATCAGGCACTGAAAGAACTAGAGGAATTCCAGCCTATCTTGATTCAGACAGTTCTCAAGCACCCGGTTTAATTAAAATCGTGTGCCATGAACACAATTTGAAATGCATAAAAGGAAAAAGGAAACATTTCATCTTTATAAGTTCACAGAAGTTTTTCAAATTAGCTAATTAATGTTGATAATATTCTGTTTTTAAGATGAAAAATATTATTCAAGTGTCAGATATTGGCAAAGATGGCATGACTGTATAATTAACACATTTGAAGCATCCTCTGGAGGAAGAGGTGTCATATGAAAGCACAGCTCTATTCTTTGCATTTGATTTTGTCTTCATCTACTTCTGTGCCAGTGACACACACGATGACAAAATAAACACACTTGTCCATAATTCCCAGGGCGGGGGGGTTGAGCAGGATCTGATGGTAAGACCTACATATAAATAACTCCCTCAGTCTGGGATTGCTTTAAATGCATAAACGCCAACAGAGTTGGGGCTGGGAGAGGAGGCCGTGGGGAGCACTGCTTACTCCTTACAGAGCTTCTGTCGGGGATGATGGAAAAGTTCTAGACACAGATAGTGATGTTGCTTGCACAACATTGCAAATGCACTTAACACCATCAAACTGTACATGTGAAAATGGTTAAAATGGCAAATTTTATGTTACATATATTTTACCACAAAACTATTTTAAATGATAACAGAAATCCTTGTGATCAAACATCAGAAACATGTATTTTTAAAATGATGTTCATGATAATATGCTCTCTTACAACTTTCCAAGGTCATTACCCTTTTATTCCAAGATTGTATACTTAAGTTTAAGCAACTCGTCATAGGTAACTCGAAGCCACAAATATTACTAAAAGCCTACTGCCTCTGAAGCACTTTCCTAGACACTGTGAGGACATGTAAGATGACAAGGCACATTCTCAGCCCCCTATGGACTTCACAATCTGTTTAGAGGTGGGCGGTCAAGCCAGAAGCAACACGTGTAAGAAACCTAACCTAGCCAACATCAAGTAAATATCACAGGATTAATTTTTCAAATGAACAGACAAATGAAACGCCAAGTGAAACTGCAGTCCACTGAGAGCAGACACAGATCACTGTGGCCTATTGATCAGAAAGTGATAATTGAGAATTTTTGCCTTTTTATTATTAATATGAGCTACTATTGTGCATATAAAATGCTTGCTCTCTTTCTGATCCTTCAAAAACATAGGCTAGATTTTAGGGCCAAAAACCTTCAATTTCTTGGGGCGTTCCACACCCGTAAGGAACAGACACACCAACAAAGTTTTGTCTGGCTCATGCTGGGAGCAAAGACGAGTTGTGTGGACCTGACAGAACTAAAACGTTTCTGGACATCCTGCAGACGATCAACACAAGACACAAGATCACGAAGCAATTGTTCCAGGAGGAACAGACCACGAAGCCCAATACAGGAAATATCTCTTCTGAGAAATTACATGCAACTAGCGTAGTGCACTGAGGAGAGGAAAGCACAGGCTCTGGAATCATTCAAAACTGGGTTCACAGCCAAGCTCCCCTACTTGCTGACTCTGTGACGTCATCAAGTTACATGTGGTCTCTCCTTCCCACTGTTTCTGAATCTACAAAGTGGGCTACTGACACCTACCTTGAAGGTGAATGTGAGGCTGAGATGGGACACGTGTGAGAGGGGCCAGTGTGGTCTCTGACACAGGGCAAGTGCTCAGTAAATACCGGTCTGCTCTCTCCAGCCCTTCCTGTCCGACTTCCCAACATTCAGGTTTGGGCAAGAGAGGGAAGGTCTGATTGCTCCTTATCACTTCTTTTCCCTAAAAGCTTAGATTCTTACCCCAGATATCTAAAAGCGAGGTGTCTGGACTTGCCATTATTCAGATAATATTGCTTGCATTAAGAAAGACACTTCGACTCACTGTAAGAAATTCAATCTCCTGACTGATGTCAAGTTACTAACGCCCCCAGAGGCCTGAGTAGATTTACATAACAAGTCAACAAGGCTAGATGACAAATTTCGATCTGTACAAGGTATACAGGTGATCGTGTAAACTCAGTGTCATCAAAATGCCCGTGTCATATTTCTACTAAAACACAGCATCCAGCTCCTCCCTAACTTAGACATAACAGCAGTCCCGTGTTCTGCTCCCTGAATGCAAGCAAGTGGTCTTTTTTGCCCCTCTTCCCATGCCCTGCGGCAAACGTCTTCCCCACTGTCGTCAGCCCTTGAGACCATGGTCTTACGCTCAGTCACCAAAGCAATTAAATATTCTCCCTCCTCATTTGACAGTCTTCCCAAATCATCCGGACACAGACAGGACAGCTTTCCCTGAAAACTGACTCCAAATCAAAAACACTTCAGAATATAAAGAAGGAAGAGCGAATGGTTTGAAAGATCATTCCCTTCGACTGTCTGTTTAGGTCATAAACTCCTTTGATGTTGAAAAACTTGAACAAACTTCCTGAGACCCGTTTCTTTTCCCACAAATGCCCCCTTTCAAGATGAGCAGACCCAGGAGACAACTCCCAGTGGCTCCAGCGTGCACCCACGGGCCCTCTAGAGTCATTTCTCTCCCGTCTTCAACATGGTGCCCGTAGCTGCAGGGCAAGTTCAAGAGTAGGAACGTGTTGGTTGTGAGGCTGTTGCACCTTCAAGTTTATTTGTAGCTCAAGAGGATTCAGCATCAGAATAGACTCAAATTTGATAGCCCAGATTTATTACACAACCTCCTGCCTGGGGCCAAAATTTAAAAAGCAAGAAACCCAGCCAGCCCCGGTGGTCTAGTGGCTAAGATTCAGCGCGCTCACCACCACAGCCCGGGTTCATTTCCCAGTTGTGGAATAACACCACCCATCTGTCAATTGTCATACTGTGGTGGCAGCTCACATCGAGAACTAAAAACCAACAACCAGGATACATAACCATGTCCTGAAACTTTAAAAAAAAAAAAACAACAACAAGAAACCACCTTGAAAAACCAGATTTTTTCAAACAAACTCCCAACAATCTGTTTGTTAGGTACATGAATTGTAGATTTAAAGCAGATGTTCTTTTTTTTTTAAGATTTTACTTTTCCTTTTTCTCACCAAAGCCCCCTAGCACATAGCTGTGTAATTTTAGTTGTGGGTCCTTCCAGTTGTGGCATGTGGGACGCCGCCTCAGCATAGCCTGATGAGTGGTGCCATGTCTGCGCCCAGGATTCGAACAAGCTAAACCCTGGGCTGCCTAAGCAGAGCGCACAAACTTAACCACTTGGCTGAGGGGCTGGCCCCTAAAGTAGATTTTCTCTTAAATATTCTCACCACAAAAAAAGACAAGAAAATGGTAACTATTGTGGTGATGGATGTGTTAATTAGCTTGATTGTGATTATTTCACAATATATGTCTATACCAAATCATCAAATTGTATACCTTAAATGTATACCATTTTAATTGCCAAATATCCCTCAAAAAACAAATAAAAGTATTTTTTTTCCCAATTCACATATGTTAGATAGATTAGTCATATAATCTCACAGCACACCACGGACTCACGCTTCCCACACTGCTGTACATCTAAAGCATCTGGATCGGAGGAACAAACCAACCACACAGCCGAGTCCTCCCGTGCGAGCTCATGCTGCCATCTACAGAGCGCACACGGCACACATCCTGCCGTCCCCCAACAAGACGTGCTATTTACCAACACCAACGACCGGCCAAACAGCACATCCATGGTGCCCATGAAAATGGAGCCGCCTACACCTGTCCGCCATGGTTCACCTCCCCCAACTCTCCTCTCTAGAAATATATCTTCAAAGTTGGTAGAAAACAAGTTTTTCAGTCTTCGAGTCGAAGTGCAGTAAAAGGTAATTAGGACAGGATAGAAGCCATTAAAACTATTCCTGTAATTTCTGGCACATAAGAGACCTCATCTCAGGTGCAGCCCGCCTGGAGAACACAAGCTACGCTTCTCATTCTACGCTGATCTGTACCCTGGAACCAGCTGAGGCTCTCCAATCCTTTCTCTATCACATGTGAACTCCATTCAGCATGTGAAAAGGATAAAGAGGGGCCTTAGACCAAAGCCATTAAATACAAGATAAAAGTAGAATTGATTTACCTTGTTGCTTTCAAAATCAGGAGCATCATCGTGTATCTCTTCAACTTCTTTAACTATCTCAGCTGGTCTCTAGGGAGAAAATATGCCGTGTTTTAGATGTACTTATAGTCAACCTATGTCAGACTCCTTTAAAGAAGCAAAAAGCACACGAAATAGTGTGACTTTCTACATCAGTTCGAGGACAAAGCTGAAAAGTCACCATAGTTTTTCCACAGTGCTTATTCAAATACAGGATTGTGTCTGCTCTGTATTTTTACCTTTGGCTCCACCAATGAAATGCCAACCTGTTTAACAAAATTGTTGGATAAATCTTTAAGGAGAAACACTATAAATCCATTTGTGTAAAAAAAGGAGTGGATTGGTCACTCCAGATGCCTCTGGTCAGCAGGTAATAAATGCCACTGTAATTCTCGGTGCACCCTTGGGAACCCCAACCAGCACCCTCTTTCAGTGTTCAGGAGATGCCTGCTATAGCCTGGCTGATCTCGGTCATCGCATAGCAGTGTGTGTTCAGTCTCCTTGTTGATTATTTCCCAGCTTTCAAAACTAGTTGGCAAAAGGCAATGCACTGTCCTTAATTGATGCCCTGGAACCTCGCTCCACCCTTGGGGAAAATCATGTAGTTCTGTGGCAAAAAAAAAAATCCCTCCCATAGGGGCTAGTTCATTTACATTTCTGTATCAGTAAGCATATGCAGATGAGACTGCAATAACAAGCAAACCAAGTCCACCTGCTATATGTCCACGGTGGGCTTCAGAGGGCGCTTCCTGCTCATCACAGCCACCCAGGACACCAGGCTGATGGAGACTCATGTTTCCTCACGTCTCCATGCTCTCAAAGGCACAGAAGGGCAGTGTGGCAAATGTCTGCCCAGAAGAGTCACTCATTTCTTCCCCTCACCCATCATTGGTAAGGCAGGTCGAATAGCCACACCTGAGTTAAAGTGGCTGGAGAAGTACATTCTTACCATGTGACCAGAATTGATGTTAGTGAAGAGCCCTAAGGATCCAACAGCTCCTGCCAGCTGACTGTTGAATGTGCAAGAGCAGAGATCTGTGGCTACGTAGACATGGGGGTGAGTACGCAATACGGCAAACCCATTAGCTCAGGCCTCAGTCATCCAGGCTTCCTGAAAATTCAGACTATGACTGTATGAGCAGTCTCTTCCTACAGTTTACATAGAAAAGAATACAACTCTGTGGGGACTGCTCAAATCAAACAAAAAAATAAACTTTTCAAAAGCACATTCTTTCAAGGAATAATTGATGCAATGCCAATCGTTGATTCATCCACTTATTCAGCAGATATAAACAGAACGCCTACCATACTGCATCCCCCCCAAGCTGAGACACAATAGTGACAGTGAGTATAAACAAACATGGCCTTCAAGTAGCTTAGCGTCCTACAGGGAAGGCAAATATTAATCAAATAGTCACACAATTAAGCATAAAACCACAACTGTGATAGGGGCTACATGAGAGATACATGGAGCTAAATAGAATATAATAGATTTAACACATACGGGAGACTAGAAAACATTTCCTCTAGTGTGACTATTAATTTAAAATGTGAAGGATGAAAAAACATTAATACATAAAAGGAAAAGAAAGACCATCCCAGGCAAAGGGATGTGACAGCCATGTTGCAGGAGAAAGCACTGAGCTTCAGAGATGTCAGGGATGGCGAGTGTGCGGAGAAGAGTGATCATAGACACCTGGCCAGGAGACGACAGTAGTTAGGACTAAAGTGATGGTGATGTAGAGAGGGAGGGCTGGATCAATTCCAGACATATTTAGGAGGGAAAATTGATAGAACTTAAGATGATCTGGATGTGCAAGAGTTGAAAAAGGTCAGTCTCAGGAGTATCTCCTAAGTTTCTTTTTTGTCTTAGCGGCTGGATGGGCTATCATACATTCACTGAGACAGGACGAGAACAAGGCTCGAGGATGCTGGGGAAGGAGACCATGGATTTATTCTCACTTTGCTGAGCTTCAGTATCTTAGAACATCTAACAGGTGATATAAACTCAGCAGATGTATGTATGTGCTGGAGCTCAGAAGAGAGAGCTGCACAGAGACTGAAGCCATGGTGATATAGAATTCTGCCCAGGGAAAAGGTCTAGAGTGAGAAGAAAAGATGCCCCAGCCCTGACCCATGTTGAAGCCCAACATTTGATGGCCAGATAGAAGACCAGAAGCTTAGAAAGAAGAGTGGCCAGAGAAAGAAGGAAAATTAGGAGATAGGTGGGTCTTGCCAAATGAAGAGAGTCCAAAGGAAAAGAGAGCAGCCAAAAGTATCAATTGAAAGTGAAAGGTCAAGCGTGATGAGAACTGAGAAATGTGCTGGATTTGGTGGCATCAGGTCAAGAGCTGTTTTGGATCATTACGGGCAGAAGTCAGAAAAGGCGAAGGAGAGAGGAGAAGATGGCGAAAGTGAGGAGGGACCACTCTCTCCAAAGACTGGTTCCACAAGTGAGGCGAGAGACGGGTGTTGCCCAAAGACGACTGAGGAAAGGGAGGGTTTGTTTTTGTTTATAACAGGAGTGCTTTCAACATGTTTAAAATCCAGCCAGGAGGTCAAGTGAAGGGAGAAGTTGAATATACCAAAAAAGAAAAAAAATAATTGATAGCACAAGATTCTTGAGAAGCTCTGAGGGGACAGGATCCAAAGCCTGGGAGAAGGTAGGAGGATGGACATTTCAATCATGAAGAACGGGAAGATGGTGCAGCCTAAACACTCATGTGTAGACACTGATAGCTACCTATCTCATAGCCATTCCTTATCATGTTCTGTGTTAAAAAAAAAATCCCAATTTTCTTCACATATTAGTCATTAATTCAGCAGAGCCTGGGCCCCTTTCCAGACACCAGAAGTAAACCCTGATTAGTCGACACCACCAAAAATCGATCGCCTCTCTCCACTAGCAATAAGGATTAGGCAGAGGCATGCGGTAGATTTCTGGAGCGCCCCTCAGAAGACTTCTCTCACTATTTGAAAAAGACACAGGAAGGAGACAGTCTCTCTGATCTTCTCAACATTCATGAGTCTCAAGGTGCCTCCCAGAGCTGAGGCAAACATCTTGAGACTGTGAGGAAATGAGCCTGAAGCCAACAGTCAGCATACTGAGGAAGGCAGGATGTAGCAATGGGAGGAACTGGGCCTCAACTGCACCTCTGAGCTGGACAACTCTGGAAGCTTCCATCACACGGAAGGCCTCTAGCCTTCTATTACATGGCGTGATAAGTGTTCCTTATTGTTTAGCCACTTCTCCTTAGGTTTTCTGTTCTTCACAGCTAAAAGCATCCTAACAGATATAGTACTAATTATACTTTTTAATTTATTCATTAAAGTGGATACCCCAAGGGCCTTTGTCAGCTTAGTCTGAGTTTCTCTACACATCTGAAAGTACCAACGCTTTAAAGCTCCATTATGTTTTTCCTAATTAAACAACACAGAGATTACACAAATTTAGACTGACCTTCTCCTAATTAGTCCACATTATTTGGGTTTTACTTTAGTTAGTGTCTTATTCTTGGCCCTGTCTCTGGAGTGCAATGAAGTAAAGGAAGTGGTGGGCAGGGGCATCGCTCCGGTTGCTACTGGAGAATCTAAGTGAAGACACCCTCTCCTTGCACTGACTCTTGGGGACCCGCTGAATATAACTGAATTTCAGTAGAGGTCGGAACTGGACCCAGTCCTTTGTGATTTCAGCCATTGCCCCTTCTCATGCATGACCCCGAGACAGGGATTTGCACACATGTTGGTCGCCTGCTGGGGAAGCCGTCCTGGGGCTAACCCACAACAGAAGGGCACATGCAGAGAACTGCTACCCCATCTCCCCAAATAAGGAAGCAAACGTCAGAGTCCTGGGCCAAACAGAGCCCGCAATTCTAGGCATTTTTCTGTCTTCTTAAAGTATTTATAAAAATTAATCTTAAATCTGGCATAAGACATTACTCTTGTGAAAAATGTGTTCCTTTAAATGAGACAATTTCAACTTCAATGTTTTAATATCTGGGTGCCATTTTTGTGTGGATTCTAAGTGCTAAAAATTGTTTTCTTAACATTGGAGTATAATACTCAGGACTTTCAAAGCCAGTGCAAAAATTCATCACTCAGAGAAGAAAAGTTTATAAAGTGGACTGTTAACACGACCGCCAGGTAGGCCTGCATTCCAGCTCCGCTCATAGAATGTTGGAGCAGGAGGGCTGGGTGGCAGGCGGACACGTTATCTGCTATGAAAACCAAAGAGAAACAGAAAATTGAAAATAAATTGTAATTTCTTAAAAATAAAAACTTAAAAGGAGACAATGCCCCGTAGGAAGAAAACAAAAAAGGTGGCTATGGGTGGACCATATCCACGGCGATAGATGACCATCAGTAAAACCCTTCGTACACCCCAAGTTTCAACCCCTGGCATTCTCTCCCTTTCACTTCATTGTATTTCCCCCAAACTAAGCCTTCTGCCCTGTGCAGGAACCACGTGGTTCAGGACAAATAGGGTCCAGCGACTTCGAAGCTCCCCCACTCACGATGCGGGGAACTGAGGCCACTCAGGTAACTAAAATGTGCTTCTCTAACCGGCGCCTCCACCCTGTTCTCTCATGAGCCAACGACGGGCATCAGTGGAAGCCTGTGAGGGTCTCCACGTCAAGTTTGTTCTCAAGAACGAGCTTTTACCACCAGGAGCCCAGGAATGTGAGAAGGCACCTTCCAACACACGCAGGGAGAGAGGGCTCTGCAGAGATCAACGGCCAGCGTCTCAGCCGGTAGAAAACCAAGTGACTGAAGTTGGAGGATAGAGAAAGGGGCGTCTGCGATTGGAAATGTATAAAGTACGCATCACTCCATGAGTAAATTAAAAATAAAACAATTAGAAGACAGAACCAGAAAAATGGGAGCATTTTAGGAATCTGAGCCCAGGTCAAAATGCAAGTGAGCAGTCATCGTGGACCGTCAGGAAGACACGCTCAAAGCAGTGATAATACACCAATAACAATAATCAGGGTTGGAGCGGGGAGTGGGTGATAAATTTAGTGTAAAAGGAGCTGGCTAAAATGTCTTCATTTACTTATCACTATATAATTCTTAAATGTGCAACAAAAATATTTAAACTGTTAGTTTGAGTTTTAAGAGAAAATCAAATCTTTTGGTCATTTTTTTCATGTCAAGGAAAAGAATAAATAATATTACGAGTAATTTAGAAAATACAACAAGACACACTGGAAAAGTGCTCAAAATACCAAAAGGAAGTGGAAGGCTAGTACATTAAGACATAGTCTGTGATACGTTAAAACTGTATCGCAGGAAAGAAAAATAGCAGAAGTTAAAAATAAATGACAGCGTTAAGAGTGAGTGATTTCTGAAACAGGAGCAGAAAAGCTCGCTGGCTATGGATTTGGTGCTCTGGAATTATAAGCTCAAGGCTGGGACCTAGTCCATTTAAGAGGACCAAATGGGACTCGAATGCTAATACTGACCTTTCACGGAATACAAATTGTTTTCTCAAAAACTGACAATTGGAATTGGACTGTTAGCGCCTTCAGGTAGACACTGGAGACAAAGTGGTGCGTTTGAGAGCTTCTCTGACCGCCTCCCCTTTGCAGGTGCAGGAACCAGGGCCAGAGGACCGTGGAGACCTGTCCCAGTGCAGGAGGGGAGCGCACAGAGCTGGGCTGCAACCCAGGCCTGGGGCCCTCTGTCCAGGCACTAGGGGGCGGGCCTTGATCCATTTGGATCCTCTGCAGGACTCCACTTCCCACTCCTCTGGGAAGCCGGGAGGAGGGCAACAGTGAGTGAGGGTCGCTAAACTCCGGGCTCTGACTGGGCCTCACACGTTCATTGCTTCATGTAGCCCTACACAAAGCTGCACAGTGATATCACCCCCACGGCACAGATAAGGAGATTGAGGCCCCAGCTCAGAAAGCTGGGAAGTGGCAGACCCATGAGCCCCACACCACACCATTCATTCTGTCATTCTGTTATTCCACAATTGATTAGTAAGGGCCTCCTACCCGCCGGGAACCCTGCTAGAAACAAGGGCAACAATAGGGAGCAAAGCAGACCACCCCCTTCCTTAGGGAGTTTATAGCTTAGAGGGGAGAAGAGACAATGATCAAATGATGACACAGCTAACTATGCTGCCACAAACTGTGACAGCGTTAAGAAGGGTCCCAATAGAAGAAGAGCCTGTCAGGAGAGAGGGAAAGGCAGGAAAACAGGTGATATAGGATCCAAAGGATGAGCAGTAGCTAACTGGAGTAGTCTTAGAACATTCTAGAAGCCAGGGATTGCTTGGGGGAGGGGTTGGGGATGAGACTGCAGGCAGGCAGGGCTGCTGGAGCAGACTAAGAAGGCGGTGGGCACGGCCATGCGATGCCTGCTACCCACCTGGTCCAGAGGCACTTCCACCTGCACATACTGGTCCTCTGTCACTTCTGGCACTCCTTGGGTCTCCATGTTAGGAGTCTGGGCTTTATACACGTCACCTTCTGGGGAAAAATAACACGGACAGGGTTTCAAACCAATGTCCATTGTACATTTTCTGACCCAAACAAAAGTTACAGCTCAGCATCCTCTGAGCTTCCTGTGTCATCGTCAGGCAGCCTGGCCCATGGACCCCAGACCCCAAACACCTCACCTCCGTCCCCATTGCCCTTGTGTTGGCTTCTGTCAAGGCTGTAGACTGTGAGGGACTCAATGTCTGCATTGTCTGTGTACGTCCCTGTCTCCACTAAGGTCCTAGAGCTTGGATGTCATGGTCATCACTATGTTTCACCCTCCATGGGACTTAGTCCCAGAGACAAAATACAGCGGACATTTCACAAGCACATGTCCAGTTAATTCAGTTAGAAATAAACACAAAGCAACCCACCAGAGATCAAAATCAAGCAACCCATCAGATAGCAAAATCATAGATTTTTTTTTTTTTTAAAGATTTTATTTTTTCCCTTTTTCTCCCCAAAGCCCCCCGGTACATAGTTGTATATTTTTCATTGCGGGTCCTTCTAGTTGTGGCATGTGGGACGCTGCCTCAGCATGGTCTGACGAGCAGTGCCATGTCCGCGCCCAGGATTCGAACCAATGAAACACTGGGCCGCCTGCAGCAGAGCGCGCGATCTTAACCACTCGGCCACGGGGCCAGCCCCGCAAAATCATAGATTTTTAAGGACTTGCAGTTTATTATAATATAAATATATTTTATATATATTATATATAAATATAATATAAATATATAATATAAATATATTCAAGAACTGGGTTTGAACAAACTGGGTTTGAACAAACTAGTTGTTAAAGTTGTGCATTGTAAGATACTCAAGTTAGTCAATAGATAAAAATCACTGTAATTAGCAATGCAGCTGGATGTGTTTTATATTAAGTGTTTATAAAATCCTGAAGTTCTTGAAAACTTTATCCTCACTCCGACCAGAAGTGACAGCCGAAGATAAAAAAGTGGGCCAGCCAGTTCTTTCAACATCCAAAAGGACATAAAGGCGGCCAGTGATGAGCTCATTGAAGCAAACTGGGCAACTCCAATCACAGACCCCTTCCATTGCTCGGTCAAGAGTCCTGGACCTCCCACTCTTCCCTGGGTCCATTCTTGCCCTTCCCGGCCCTCAGCCCCACGAGAACCATGCCCTGAGTCTTGGGCTGGAGGAGTCCCTGCTCTCGAGGGCGAAGGGATGGAAAGGGAAAGGAAGGAGCAGGAAGGCAGCATTCATCAGGAACCCGCTGGGTTCCAGGCACTCCTCTATGCATTCAATATTTAATACTCATGGCAATCCTTGAATGAACCTACTATGCCCATTTGCAGATAAGGAGTCTACCCATGGTCACAGGTTGGTGATGACCATAGCTGGAATTCGAGCCCACCACACCATACTGTTTCCCAGGGGAAGGCCCGATGTGTGTCGGGCAGTCCAAGCTACTCATGTACGAAATGTTTTGCCAAGAAAGAAGTTTTACACACAGTGATTAAATTTTCTATTACTGTTAATATAGTGCAGCATTTCGGATAGTACAGATTGAACAGGCTTTGGTCTTAGACCTAACCTGACCACAATGTGTTAGAACAGCACCACCTGTGCGTGCACACGTCTGCCAGGCAGTGAGCTCCATGGAGGGTGGAACATATCCAAACACCCCCCTGTCTAGCGAGTGCCTGGTGCACAGCACGATGATGCATTCATCATGGGCCGGGAGCACCAGAAGTGGGAGAGGAGTGAGAGAAAGCATCAGGGAAATGTCCAGCTCTGTAGCCTGGAAGCAAACGGAGGAGCAAGAGAGGAGCTAAGAAACAATCAGAGAGCAAAGAAGAGAAAACTGAGCTGCGTGAGATGGTAGTGAAAGCCAAGCGAGAAGACGGTTTTAAGAAAAATGACTTCCCAAACTTGTCAGACACTGCAGAGAAGTGAAGGGACCCCTCCTCCTGCCCTTTTCCTCCCCTCTCCGCAGGCAGCCGTAGGACTTGAGTCTCTCATTAAGCATCCATCACACACACTGGTGAGATGGCCACGGGGCTCACGTGAGTCAGAGCTCAGTAAAAGGTGGTGGGAGGAGCAGCACCAGTAACAGTACTACCAGTAGGAGCAAGAACAGGAGTAGGAGTAGATTTAAGTTATTTCATTTTAAAATCACTTCTGAAGTTTAATCTTTTAAATGTGTCTCATACTCAAAAAGTAAACCCAGACAAGTCAGCTCCTATTTTCACGTTTCCCCCAAAGGCTGACTTGTGTGTTGGTTGTCTTCTGTGTCATTGGTCCTTCGGGGAAGACACGCCCGCCCTGACGGACACAGAGCCACAGGACTACCCTAATACTAGCCTTAGCCTGGAGGACTTCCGCCTTGGACAAGTCAACGGCCTTCAGCACTGGAATTTTGTTTTTCTACCCTCCCAACCACTGCCCTACAAGCTGAACATTTTATTAATAAATCAGATAGCTGCAAGTCAGGTTTTTAAATCAGATAATTACAAGTCGTATCCATGCAGTACGAAATTGATCTGAAAACACGCCTTCTTCACACGGTAGCATTTTTTACAGCCTACAGCGACATGAAATTCCACATTACCTGCACCACCTTGGATTAAAGGCTCTACCAGTGTTTTCTTCTGTCCTTCTTTGGCGTAAAAAACAGAATCCTGAGCTCTAGGTGGAATGTTGTCATGTTTAGGAGGTTCTTTTCCTTTGGAATCCTCCTAAGGTACAAATTAAGAATAAAAAGTATGTCAGGAACAACACAAACACTGAGTGTTCAGTGATTTTGAGGATGATCAGAGAAAGCCCACGGCTCCTTGGGGAAAGCAGTGGGATGGGATTCAGGCACCTTTAAGAGGCCCCCTTCTAGCACCATCTGGACTCTCCAATCCTTACATTTCTGCAAAGTGACAAAAAATGCTTCTCTCCCTCTGTCCCAGGGACACGGCAGGCAGTGCCTCCCCAGGAGGGGAAGGCCGATCCTCTTCCTAATGGAAGGTGGCTGTGTGACAATGAGGAGCTGCATTAGAAGGAGACGAGCGGGTCTAGTCTGAGGAGGTCCGTGTGGCTTCAGGGACACTCCCAAAAGCCTAATAAAATTGCCGCTTCAACTACAAAACCACTCCTGCTGGAACCTCCAAGCAAGATGGAGCATGTCTGATAAAGAAACGTACGGCAGGTTTGTTTTGGGATATGGTAAAGGGGAACTCAGATTTCTAAAAACCATCTGTAGACAATGAGCACAAGACACAACTAGACCACAGCGCAAGACGGACCAATTCTTAGCACCATCCCAACTCTATTGCATAAACTAGCTTCACAATACAGACTCTCTTTTTCAGTTTTCCTCTTTTCTGTCTTTGCTAAAGTATCTAGAAGTGAATACAGGCAAAACTATACAAATAAATATTTCTCTTGAGCTCTCTAGATCACTTAAGAAAATGTCAAACTAAAAACATTTACCTTGTACCATTAATATATTGTAGATGACAAGAACTACCAGATTTTTTGTCCTTGAGGAAATTAAAGTGTGAAAATAGCCCTTCACCCATATACAACAACCAAGCAAAATCTTGCTACCTATTTTAAGGGGCTTTCCTGCAAGTTGAAATTGTGTCCTTTAGCGTAGGAAACAAGGTCTTTGCAGACAGAATCGGTTTTAGAAACGGACACTGGTCTGCAGTGCCTGCATTTTGCAGGGAGCTGGGGGCTGGGATTCTGAACACATACTTGATTCTTCTTAGCATCACTGACATCTGTTTGCTGGGATGATTTTCCATATCTTTAGCCTCTAAGATAAAGACACCTTGTATTTATTTTATTATCTCTGAAATAATACTCAAAGGACAGCGACAAAGAGACATGCCCACCCTCCTCATAGGAGACAAAAGCAGCCGTGACACAAAGCAAAGAGCACAGAGCCAACAAGACCCTCTGCCGTCGGGCCCCCGGCTCCCCATCACCCCAAGCCCAGAGACGAGATGAAAACGAGGTGGCTCCACACAGACCTGGAAAGTCACACAAAACAAAAGGAACTTCCAGGGAGTAACATGGCAGGGAAAAGTGGACATAATGTCATTAAACCAATTTTACTGTTTAATCTCATCTCTTACCTAAGTATATGAAGTTTTTACAAACATCTTATTTCTATGAAATCTAGTGAAACTTAGAGCCACACTGGTTTGGCCTCTTGTCAAGTCGAGGCTCCAACATCAGCTCCCCAGTGAGGACCACCTTGCCCACTCTCGTCCTATCCCTCCCGGCTCCTTCCTTATCCTTCCCCACATTCCCCCACAGCACTTTAGCGTAAACCTAATAATTTATCTATGATGTTTATTATCTTCCAACGCTAGACGTTGGAAGCTCCATGAGGGCAGCTTTGTTGGTTTGTTTGTTTTTCTAATAACACATTCCCAAAGCCTAGAACAGTGCCTGGCACATAGGAAGCCCTCAATAGCTATCAGCTGAACGACTAAGTGACCATTGAATGACTATGAACCTGATCACTCCCACCGTTCAAACACTGAAGGGAGTTGTCGCAGCTTTAGGAAGGTGCTCAAACACCCTAGCTTAGCAAGGTGACCTTCACGCCCTAAGCCCACCTGCCCTCCCACGCCCACACCCCTCACTGCTCAGGCTTTGCACAACCCAGGCCTTTCTACCCAAGACACTCCACCGGGACTCCCTCCCTCCCCTGCTTCCTAACCTACGACTTCTCATCCTTCAAACCGCAGTCGGAGCCTGCCCTCAGAGGGCCCTCTGCTGTGTCCCTGTAACGCCTGACATATTGTCACCAGGATGCAGACCTTGCCCTCTGTGCACTCCTGGTGCTCCACACACAGTGGGCTCACAGCATGTACCTGTGCTCAGCTGAGCCATCATAACAGCTGCTCAGTACATCTCTGCTGATTTAATGACCTGAGGAGGGAGATGTGGCAAAGCAGGAAAAGAAGAGCTCAAAATCTGGCATTCTTCAGACAAGGAAAGGTGAGGGGTTGCTACGCACAGCTTCTGCAGGCCAAGAATCTCCTTCTGTGGATGTTAAATACATACGTTTTCTAAACAATTCAGGAGTAGGTTGCACACATCATGCACCTTTACCTCCAAGCACCTCAGTACGTAATACTGAAGACACGTGACCTACTTAATACTGAAGACATGTTTCCTAACGACGGAGATGACCCTTACAGAATCACGGGACAGTCACCAAATTCAAGAAGTTAACCTTGATGCAACACGCTTACCTAATCCACCATCCATAGCCCCATTCTGTGCAGTAATGTCTTTATAGGATTGCCCCTCCAGGAAAGGCCCAGTCCAGGATCACCTATCACATTTAGGTGTCGTGTCTTCTTAGCCTCCTGTAACCTGGAATTGTTCCTCAGCCTTCCTTTGTCTTTCGTGACACTGGCACTTTTGAAGAATACAGGCCTGTTTTGTTTTATAGGAAAAATCTGAAGTTGGCATTGTGCGGTGTTTCTGCATAATTAGATGAAGGTTATGCATCCCTGGCTGGACCCTACGTGCCATGTCCCTTCTCAGGTATCACAGCTGGAGGCCCAGGGTGACTGTCTCCTTTGTTGGTGATGTGGCTCACCCAGTCACGGGGTTTACAGCTTCCCCAAGGGCAGTCCTCGCTGTCCGTCCAAGCCAGTGCCATCGGCAGGACATGCAAATCTCCAGCTCCACCAAACTGCCCTGCACTCGACTTTGATTCCTGTGTGAGTCTTGACCTAATTACCTTTAAAACCAGCTGTAAATGACTCTCATTGAAGTGGATGATCTTATCTAAACAGAGCAAACTGTAACAGTTGGGAGAGCTATAGAAAGAAAGCAACAAAATATTGACATAAGTCCACTTAAAACAAAAAAAAAGTAACAAACCCCTGAAAAATACACTGAGAGCTTACAAAGTATATGACTAGACCTGCACATCTACTGAATGTGACCAGACCCACACCATTTGAAGTGTGAGCAGACCACACCTAGCGCACGTGTCCAGTACACGGTGTGTGACAAGAACTGGAAACAGACACAAAAGGCCTCGGTGTGAAACTGAGGTTCTGGCCTTTCTCGTGGAGGAGGAGCTGTGCACCAGACTGGCTGTAGACACCCCTCTGACCGTCTGGAGCCTGGTATTTAGTCGGGGCTCAACTGCAGAGTCATCCTCTCCCCGCTCAGCCACTGGGGGTCAGGCCCTTCACCACAGCTGTCTCAGGGCCTCTACATGACCTGGGACTGATAAGAGGGCCTCTCTGAGGATCCGAGTGAGGTTTGCAAAACTTCCTTCCAGTAAGGATTTTAGAAGCCTGCTGGGTGCACAGAAGTACTCTAAAAATGTTAGAAGCAGATGTCAGTGACTCGATGAGTGGACACAGTTGGAATCCTGAGCTACAGAGAGCCATCGGGAAATGCGGCTGTCCAGGCGAGAGGCCCGGAGAGGCTCCCCCAGGTGAAGGAGCGGAGGGTCCACGAGGTGACTGAACGCCGCGTCTCGTTTTCGGGCTCTCCAGGTCTTTCTCCCTCCAGGATGAAGCCCGAACTCCCAGCAGCACAGCCACGCACACGGGCCACCCCCGGGCCCAGCCTGCCCTCACATTCCCATCAGGGGCAGCCTCACCATGCGTCTTGCTGTTCCCCAACATGCTGGCGCTTCCACATTCTCATGTTCTCCAGAGTAGCCACTTCCCCTGGTGTACCTAGCCAACTTGTCTACAGATCCTTCAAGACCCAACGCTATTGTCATCTTGTCCCAACACAGAGCAATCCCTCCTCCGGGCTCCCCTCCACTGTACACACAGCTCCACCGTCAGTCACATGCCTGTGGTTTTCTACTTCTCTCCCTCTGGCCAGCAAGCTCCCCAAGGACAGGACGAGGGCCACCTGCATCTTTACTTGCCCAGTGCTTGGCATAAAGTGGGCATTCTGGATGTCTTTTCATTGTCAGAGCAACACGGATTTACAGCAGTTCTTGGCAAACAACAGATTAAGCAGGAAAACAGAATCTATTGCTTTCAAACACAAGGAAACTTTCATGAGCCTCATGCCTCCGATCCCCACTCGTGTGTGCCCCCGAGTCTCCAGCCGCTCAGATATTAACGTGAGCTCTATTTACAAAGGCAAGAGGTACTTCTTTTCGATTTCATTATTCCTTCTTCCTATTAAAAACATTTTCAGAAAATACACCTGAGGCATGTTAGGTTTATTTCTCTGTAGTGCGTTAAGAACCATTATTTTCCTCCAGAGCCTATTTCAATCCATCTAGCTATATTTTAATGCTATTGTAACAGATTCTCTTGCTCATGCACATGAAAGGCAGCCACCCAAGGTAACTCAGGATGAATGAGACAGTTTGTCTAATGGAAGAACAGTAACAACCCATTTCAGGGTCAATCCGTCCTCAGGCAGAAGACGACGAATGTCGCCACAAAAGGCATTTCTTTGGCTCCAAGTGAATGTCCTGGTTCCAAGTGTGTCCAGGTCCTCCATCCGTGAACGGGTCCCTGCTCTGAGCATTACTAAAGCGGAAGATATGCTAACATTTGAACCCGACTGCTGCGTCTTCAGGCTGCGAGCAGATGACATCAAACACTGCCTCGATTGCTGTGTGATGCTGCCATGGCCTTGACATTATCAGCCCACAAATGTCAGTTCCAGAGCACTTATTTCACACTGACCTCTACAGGCCAGGCCAAGGGCGGTTGTCAACCCCAAACACACA